ATAACCGAACTCCACGCGGGCGAATCTGCGCGCGGAAAGTTAGTGTAAACTAAATGTTTAATTGAAAGTGCATATAATAAAATGAATTTATAGTGTTAAAAGTGAATTAATAGGTATACTACAATGTATCAAAAATATTTTTAACTAGAATACACAAGAATAAATTTGAAGAACCGTTTTTCGTCATACGTAAGTACTGACTATTAAAACGAGCACGAAATATTGAGATTTTAACAAATTGATGAAACGCGCCGTGTTCAATGACGGGGAAGGTTTTCAGAAGGTTTTATTGAAAATATTGATACTCTTTTTACATCTCATGATTATAATAAATAATCTAACATTGTGATTACGATATAAATTGTTTGAAAATCGTCGAACTTTTCTGTAAATTGAGTTTAGTAAAAAATATCAATATACATGTAATAAATTTTAAAAAGTAAATTTTTTAACGATATAGAAATAAATTATAGACCTTAATAAAATTTCAATTAATACTTACCTATACGGTTAAATAAATATGAAAAATATAGTTATGATTTATGCTCAAATATAAAAAAATAATGCTACCTTTTGTAATATATTTTAGAAGCGAATATGACAAAAGTTGGTACAACATCGTGATGATGCTACAAGCTACGATAGATCGCAACAGCTACGTTCATTACGTAACTTTACACGCTCCCAAAATCCGCAGCATTTGCTAAAGATATGTTTTTCTGCACTCACCTTATTCATACCATTCCCCATTTTGGCTTTGTCTTCTTTATTTATTGACAAAATAACAATTAAAATTGGAGATGTCCAATTTTTAAAAATAGCAAACATTGAATTTTAATATATTTCATATGATTTATTTTCATTGTGATTATCGTAAAGAATCAATCGTGTCAGAACGTCAACAGAGCGCGTCACTATGGCTACATTGTTGACACCGGTTGTCACGCGAAATCATCGATATCTTAATTGACACCTGTATTGTACTGGTAAAATTTGGGACGCACGCGATTCGTTTTTGATAATAATGCTGACGTTTTTATTTTGCACGCGGCTTTGTGTTATCGATCGTTATAATTTCGCGGCTTCGGAATTGTTTTATGTAACGGGACGTGCGCTCCCGACCGAGGGCTCCGCGCTACTGGCTAGCGGCCGGGAGTCACTGCGTCTATAAACCTTCGAGGCCTGACGCTCACAGACATCGATATCGATACTCCTTTTTATATATTTTTTTCGTATGTAATAATTCCATAAAATTCTATATAATAAAGTAATAAAATGGAATTTAATTAAAACTCGAAAACATTTAGTACCATTATTTTTTAATTTAAAATTTATAAATATTTACTAGTTCATAAGTACTTTCACTAAACCAAATTATCGTCTCTTTCACCAACACAATACCCTATCACATACGTTAAATATAAAAGTATACTAATGGTGGAAAATGGAAACGAATATAGACTTTGTAATTCGTACTCTGAAAAGCGTTGCTATTATGTTAGTGAGACATGTGTTGTAGGACTTACCTATAAATAATACGAAAAAGGGACATTATCTCTGGTGAACTGAAGTTTAACATGTGTTATAAGGAACATATTGTAAATCAAGAGTTCTAACACGGGGATCTAGCCAACGACTGCTTTTTTGTTGAATATTTGTCCTTCCTTAGTAACACACACACACACACACACACACAATGAATCGCCAGTACTGTGCTCCATATAATGCATCTATTCATACAAACACGCATGCTTTTCATGATTTTTAATATTCAACACTACTTAGTTTTAATATTAAAATCTTAATATAACCTGAATTACAAACGTAGTTACAGTTACGTGCTATTAATTTACTGCTTTACTTAAATAATGCGTTCGATATAATATATACCACGACTTTTTTGTCTTATATTTGTAGTGTTGATATCGATTCCTAATAATATAGTATCAAAATAGGCATATTAATTTTGATAATATAAAAAAACTTGCTTATAACCTTAAATAACATGAATTTCTTGGTCGCTTTTTAAATATAAATATATAAATATAATGAAATATTCCATTTCTACACAAGGGAGTTATATTTAAATGACACGCATGTTTGCACGCACGCACGCACATGCATTGTAGACGTATTTTTTTATGGTGTGGTGAATGCCGAATATGGAATTATTTATTTAATTTTTTTTTTATTATTTCTTGGGACATGGGCTCTTTATTATGTCTGTAACTTTATTTCTGTCATTTAAATGTCTGCTTATTGTTAATACTGCTGTATAGCTGGAAATCTGATTGTAGCAGTTCATTAATTACGTAAGCAGAACTAAATGATTGTTATCAATGCACTATTGTACTATTTAATCTGTGACTTATTTTTATTTTTAATATAGCCATTGTTGTCTGTGCGCTTAGCCCATTTAGGTTTACAATCTGAGAAATTAATCTTGGTTTTTAAAGATAGAACTTCTATAAAATGAAGAAAACAATTCTTGGATGTATTATAAAAATCTTTTTATATATAGTTATTGGGGAGTATTTAATCTCTATTTAATTATTAGCATATTTTTAATTTATTTCATAAGCAATTGGCGAGTTATAAATATTCCAACGATACTACGAAAACTTATAATGGTTTACAAACTAAAAAAATGCAATACATAATGTTCAGTTGTTAAGTAACAATTCTTTTGACAGATAATCTTACAAAAAATATAAAATTAATTTACTTAATTCCAAGGTAGCTAGCAGTTTACGTCACAAAGCTCAAATTCTTATTTTAACGAGATGTAATTCCGTACTTCTACTTTGACTTCAGATAAAGTGACTCTTAGCTTTTGCGTGTGCACGTTTTGTAATGAGTGTTTTAATCTTTCGCTTCTAATTTCTTAATGGAAATGGTCAAACCAATTCTTCAATTACTAGGTGTGATATAAGACAATTCAAATTGATGGAATATCTTGTTTTTTTTTATTAAAAACACTTATTATCCTTAGTGGACTGTGGAGTATACTTATCAAAATAAAGTATATACTTAAAATAATATAAATATTCTTTTAGTTTCAAATATCCTGTCGAGGATAAACAGATAAAAAGTATTCTAGATTAGGTAAATGATCTTGCGAAAAGCCATTTATTGTATTACTTTTTGGCGGAAAGAATTACTATTTTATACAGATTTGAAAAAAATAATTTCACTGATAGATTGCTTAACGCGTTAACTGTTACGTTGTTAAATTCGCTTTGGCCAAGAAACGTGTCTAATAAATTTTGATCTAAATTAATATATGCCATTATTTATTGTTCGATTTTAAGACAATTGAATAAGATGGCCTCTCACTACTATTCCCAATAACATTGCTATTTGAACTTGGCCTTCATGAGCCACAAAGTGCTAAAGCAAAAGCATACCTTTATTTCTAATTTATTATTATTTCCAATTAATACCAACATAAAAACGAAAACTAATCCGTCGATAAAAGAAAATACCTATAAAACGTATCTAATGTGTTCGCAGTTCGTTAGACGTAGAACTATATCCCTTAGGACTTTCAGGGATCTATAATGATTTATATGGATGAAGATTATATTGAATCTTAATTGTCGCTTAAGTAAAAACATATTGATTGCCTTTTTCTAAGTTTCATAAAAACAAAAACTATGAAGCATAATAAACTACTAATCCATTAATTTAACAGAAATGGTTCTTGATTTAATAAGTGCAGTTCGCTCAAGTAATTATCTTATTAACATGAGAATAAGCCACTCATTTGATTAGTTCCATTGCTGTATCAAAGCGTTGATGACGAAGGTTCATTATTTTTAGGTTACAAACGTATCTTTGATTGAAAGGCACCATTAGTTGATTAAAAAAACCGCGAAACTTGGTAAGCTTTTGACGTAATGATGTTCCAACTTCCATAGAATTATGTTGTTTACTATGTAAACTCCGAGATATTCCTTTTATTAATATTATCTGTAGTTCTAAGAAATTATTCATTTAAATTACAACTATACAGTTTATAAGTTAAAATATATTTACTCTTATTACAGGAGTGTTTGTTTTGCCTTTTTACTATAAAAAAAGGTTGGTAAGTTGTGAATTTTAATAGCTTACTTTATTTTTATTTTACATTTATTACATCACATTAAAAAAAACCTTCGATTATCTTTGTTTCGTCTCATTAGATATTTATAGCAAAGTATAATTATCTCAATGACATATAATTAACTTCTATTTCTAAACTATATTAAGTAGTTACTAAAAAGTCAAAAGGGGTGAAAGGGAATTATGACATCTGTTACTGGCTTAATTTAAAATATTCGCCTAACGTCTTTTATAATGGGTATCTTTATATATCTTCTTCTACCTGGCAATTTCCCAGCTACAGCCAGGGTCTGCCCTACATGTTGTGAATAGTTTTTGGCTATTTGTTTTTACGACCGGCCGCCTGCCTGACATCAACCCTCTTTTTGGGAATCAACATTAATCAGTGATGTCTAAATACTCTTAGAAAGTACATATGATTCGGAAAAATCACATTGGTACTTGCCCGGGCCAGGATCGAATCCGCGCCCTCGGCGACGAGAGGCGAGCCCTTTAACCACCGAGCCACCACTGATATATCTATAATTAAATTCAAACTTGAATAAATAATAGCCTCGTATCTAGTATACCTACTTTTGATAATAATAATAAATAAAATATAACCAGGAACCTAAGAACCATTACACAGAAAACTAAATTTTATTTCCTTATAACTTTATTAACTTATAATATACAAAAACATATTCTATACATCTCCTTCATATCAATAAATTATATTATATCTTTCGGTGACATAGAGTAGTTAAATAAAGAAATTTAAAATAAAAAATGTAAGTGGCAAAAATAAACTTATTTTATTTTCCATTTAGGTACTTGATTTTTACATTCAAATGAGGTCTTAAGGTAATACTATATTTATAATACAAAAAAGTATTTCTGAACTACTATTAAAACTCTCATTTCCTTGACCGAGCCACTAACGCCAAGCCTTGTATAATTAAAGCTGTACCGAGCCACCATTTAAATGATGAAGCTTCATTAAACATTACCACCCCAATGATACCCTGTAAAAAATATATTATTATCTCAAATATTCTTACTTTCCATATACAATTGTTATATAAGCACTTTATTCTTAAGATATTAGAATTGACCTACAGATAAAATATAACTGGATGCAGAAGATATAACTGTTGGGGCGACAGAGTTTGAAGCAGCATCTAATGATCTGAGGTAACATCGGCAGCCCCATGTGTTAACTAAAACCATGCTTATTAATAGCGCAGCCCATAAAAAGTAACTGTCACCCTGTAATGTTATAAGATATTATTGTATATTATTTTAATTTCTAAGAAAGTTAAAAAATTCATTTCATATTTATATTCAATACTTTTGATGCATATTGCACATATTATGAATTTTTAACTTAAAAGACTTAATATATTTCACTTTTCAATATTATAAGATATTATTGTATATTCAATTAAAGTCAGAAAGTTAAACAATTCGTTTCATATTTATATTCAATACTTTTTATTCATACTGCACATAATATAACGATGAATTATCTTAAAAGATTTTTAAAATATTTAATTTTTTAGTAAATTAAATTTGCATATTACAACCGCAGGAGTTCCCGACAGTTTCCCCAACGTACTGCCAGCTGACGACCAAATACCAGCCATAAATGCCTCTCGTAACATTTTTGCTTACTTTATAAACGCTTATTCAAAAGTTTTGACGAGAATGTATGGAAATTGATATATTTTACTATTAATTCATATCAAGCATTAAAACATTAGCCCTATCTTTTATGAATCATTCGTTTTATCGGTTCTGTTGCAACAGTGAGGTAGTTCGTTTTGACAATGAATATATATGGACTTTTAAATGTATTTAATTCGTATTTGTTCATAATAATACATCAAACTAAACAGTCATATTTAATACTTGGTACTAATTACAACTTAATGCCTAGGAACCTAGGAAAAAAAACTTTTTAATTTAATTGATATGGCTTTATTTACGAACTGAGAACTTTTACATGACAATTGACATATGTTTTCTCACTTTGACATTGGCGTGAATTGTCATCAGTAATTGTTGTTATTGCTTTAACATCTAGATTTTTACTGTTAAATAATTTCTATTTATTTTTTTGGGTAAATGAGAAATAACTTCACACTCACTTTCGTTATGAAAGAAAATTCATAACCACAACTATCAGTTATAGGACTCTCGTCAAGAGCTCTTTTATTTAATAGCAGATATTTCAAAAATGCTATTTTTTTTCCTTAATAATAAGCGGATTTCATCTTAAATAATATGATTCAGCTGCTTAATATTCGTTATCACCAACAATAAATGTTCTGAATTATATGAACGATTGAAATAATATCAACAGTACTTGTTTTAATACATATTGGGTTCTAATTATTACGACTCACATTTGTTTTTCTTATCTAAAATAAACTCAATAGAGTTTAAATATTTATTAAGCAAATAACAAATCTAGTTCTTCACCAACCGCCTAGCTATATATTTTATAAACGATGGAGAAAATTGTAGTTATGAAATTAGTACATTTTTTAAAGCATAATTCGTAATAAATCTTATACAGGTTCTACAAAAGTTACTGGTCACATTTTTCTAGAACACTACACTGAAACAAACGTCAATAATGAAATGACATTACGTTTTTACATTAAACATACTGTAGTTTCAAGTTTGTATGCCTATTTATATTTTATTGTTATCTGCATCGTCAAATCATTGATACGCGGATTTTGAATAAGAACGTAGTATTACTAAGACCTAAGCAGTATAATAGAAAAAAGGTTCCTATTTTTCATTGCCAACTGTGAATTTCAGAAGTGATTTAAAGTCGACTACTTTTTTTGTTAGAATTTATTCTTACGAGTTCATAGGCAGATTTATTTTTATTTAATTTTATTACGTACTAGACAAAGTAATGATGGATATCATTAAGAGCGGAGATAATGTTTTATTGATCTGGAATAACAACGAACCCAGTGAAATTAGCAATTTAGTAAAAGAAATCCAGTCCATTCAGAATGTTTCCGTAGCTATGGAGAACTCGAAAATGATAGCCGAAGGTGAGTTTTTGCTTACATCTGGTTATTAACTATAACAATTATTTTACATCAGGGACCCTTTAAAATAAATAAATTTATGTATTTTCATGTTTTAATTGACAGGTTCAAGACCACAAGCATCATTTGATGTGGTTATATCAAACTGGCTCCAACCAAATTCAGTGGAACACACTGACAGTTTGCTTTCAATTATTATAAAGCTACTCAAACCAAGTGGTAAATTAATATTAAAAGACAAAACAGATATTTCTTCACCTTTAAAACTCAATGGATTTCTTAATATCATCAAAAATGGTGATCATTATTCAGCCGAGAAGCCTAAGTTTGAGGTAAGATTTAGTCATCTAAGGGGTTAATATTTATAGCATCTTTGTAACACTAAAAATAATTGGTCATTATTATTCATGTAAAAATAATGACCAATAGCAACAAATATGCTCCAAAAACCTAATCAAAAGTATCCAATTACAGGTTGGCTCCAAAGCATCGCTTAAACTCAAGAAGCCAGCCGTTTGGAAGTTAGATGATACTGTAGAAGAAGCTTGGACTGCCAATGGTGATGATGAAATAATTGATTCAGATATGCTTCTAGATGAGAAAGACCTGACAAAACCCGATGAGAAATCATTAAGAGGCAAGTATTAAATTGAAATATATTTATTATAGTAAAATTATCCTACCTTGCTTTGTGGTATAGTAAATATTTGATCCCAATAAAATGGGAGTATTAAATTAATACAGACAATGAACAGTAAATTATGATTTTTTTAAATTACATATACTTAGACACTTTTCTGTTTAACTAAGCTAGTACTCAAACATCCATTCTATACTTAATTTCAATTAAGAACAAATTATTTTATTCAGCCCTTTCATATAAATGGAAAATATATTTAAAAAAATCTGATAAAAAAATCGATATCTATTCTTATCATGACGTAAACGTCCGTCGAGGTTTTGTGTTCCAATTACCTGTTGTTGAGGTTCTGTGTTCCAAACGTTTTCGTGCCGGCATTGAGTAATCGGGCCACAATTGTTAAGGACATTGCCTCAAACAATAATAATGCAACAAAAGACGATGAATGGAAATATTTATTATAATATACCTCATTGATGATTATGTGGCGTTTGTAGAATATACGCTATTTTCATGTACAAATAAAGATTTCACGAAAAATATTCAATGTCGATCATACTATGTAGGACCATTTGAGAAAGTTTTTTAAGGTCATCTAATTGTAGCGATGTTTATCTCAAATGTTTGATTGTAATAATTACATAATGAAATTTCAAAAACATTAATTAATATTTCCTGTATGTGTTATTTAATATGAAACGAATATTTTACTCTTAATTTCATAATTATTATTTTCGGATCAACTAAAAACAGCATGATTATTTTTGTTAAGGTTAATTAATTTCAATGTTTACATATAATAGTAAATGTTAGAAATGTTGAATATAATGTGAACTATTTTACTCTTCATTCAAAATAGTTTTTAATAATCAATATATCAGTTAAGATGTTGGCTACTATATAATGAAAATTAGACTGACAATGGTTCTTGCATAATCTTAGCTTAATTTAATTATTTGTTATTCCAGTATGTGCAACCACTGGCAAGAGGAAGGCTTGTGCGGACTGCTCTTGTGGTTTAGCAGAAGAGTTGAGAGGAGAAGTTAAAGATACACCAAAATCATCATGTGGCAGTGTATGTAACTTTAATTATTTTACTAATAACTACCTTCGGCTTTGCCTTTATACTTAAATCCCATACAAATTGGAGACATATAGGACAGTTTATTTGTAAAGTTAACCTTCAGAAAATGGAATTATATTCACATACATATTATTATGACAGTTAATAGTGTGAAGACAATTTAATTTATTTCATTCAGTTATAAGTTCATAGTAATGATTATATAATACAAATAAGTATAATAAATTCATTTCCATATACTAATAACTATTAATGAAATAAATTAGTATAGACACTTAAAAATGTGTAGTAGTCAATAAAGTTATAATTTTTTTTCTCATTACTTACTGTACTATACTTATTTTTTATTGTATGTGCAATTTATACATATTATAAACTTACAATCACAGTCAAGAAATCATAATTTATACAACAAGTGATGACAAGTCTTTATTTGATTACTTCACAAGCACTATAATCCAAATGTCACTGGTAATAGAATCTTTTGTTGACAACTTTTTTATTATTTAAAGTACAATTCATGGTAGCCATTTAAACTGTTTTATTGGTGCTAAACTCTTTAGATAGAGTTAAATAATTTGCCAAATAAGTGCATTTTTTTTACATACATATTTATCTCAAGTGTTCAACAAAGACTACCACTGTGAATCTTTTGGCTTTTAATTGAAAATGTTTTTCATGTTATGAAAATAAAACATTGCTGTATGGTTTTATGTTTGTCACAGACAAAAAGTCCTTGTATGAGACATTCTATTGCTTAATTTAACATTTATGTTTCCTAATTAATGAGTAATGTTTTTCTAATGTTTCCAGTGCTACCTGGGTGATGCTTTCCGCTGCGCTACTTGTCCGTACCTAGGTATGCCTGCTTTCAAACCCGGAGAGAAGGTTGTCTTGGATCTCAAATCTGATGTCTAGTTGGCAGTTTAGTTCTAGAATTCCACATTGTGATTACTTTATTAATAAATTCTACAGATTCCAATATGTCTTTTTCCATTGAAAATACAAGTTAATCTATTCGTGACTGTTATTCTGATTTGATGTCAGTAAGCGGTTTATAAGGGGACAAAATCAAACAACCAAATAGCAAATATTCATTTATACATATTCTCTCTTTCTTTTTACAAACAGTTAACTTATTTTAAACATTTCCCTCCATAACATTTTCTTTACATTATCTGAATATTACTCGTCTCGTTCTACAATAAAATATATATTTGCCATATTTGTCATATAATAACGATTAATATTTAACTCTTATTTAAATGACACATTTCCCACACTAACACATCGAAGACAGCTGATAAAAATACGAAGTAATATGAAACTTGAAAGTTAAAACAAATGTCAATAAAATTGTTTATGTTAAGATGTCATTATATATTACTGAGGCTTCACCACTTTGGTCGTTACCTTACCAGAAAGTTATATCACACCGATAAAGAAGCACGAATCACATCTAGCTACCAAAATAACTTATTAAAAGTTATTGTAAGGGATTTATATGAAAAATTGATTGTCAAGTGACAGTAGCTAAGTGCGAGACGAGCTTATGGCACTATCATGTGTCAACTTTTATAGGGTTGCTATCATTAATTAATATTACTATGTCAACCATAACCTTAGAGAAAGAACAATCCCCTAAGACCTTTACTGGCCACACCTAATATTGGCAACAAACAGTTACATTTAAAATTCATTAATTTACCACTGTTTTGTAATTATTCTTATAACATCTAATATCTCAGTCACGCAAATAACATCCAAATAACACATGCACCCTATTTATATATATAAAAAAAACAATTTTAAATTGAAAGTTACAAATATTTGGGCAATGCGATAAAGAAATAACCAGTGTAAAAAAATTGTTAAACACGTGGAAAATACAATTTTATACTTATCTATATATTTTATGATATAAGAGTAACATAATGCTTTGTATTTATATATTTTGAGAAGTAAAATTCAAATTTAAATTAACATACGACAATAACGATACAATGCATTATGTTACTACAATTTAATATTTACTGTTAATAACAAATGAATATCTAAATAAAAAGTTATGAATTTTTATATGGTTGCAATTGCAGTGGACCTAATTTAAAATTGTGTTTAAGAAAGCAAAAGTATTTTTAAAGTGTGAAGGAATGAAATAACGGGTGCCCAAGCAAGAATTAAACTGAAGGGATCACACAGATTCAGTTTTTACAAATAATTAATTGACCCATTAAATATCCCTATCGAAGGCGCGGATAATATTGATTGTTCCAATAACCAGCCATAGATTATTAAAATTCTTAGCCGGCAACTCTTTAACCCACACTAAAAGTTTAACCAACCCCGAACTTTGCACTTTATCGAAATAATTAAGTATGCAATGTTGTGGTATTGGATTTTGTTAAACTTACTTTAATTTCGAAATCTACTCGTTCAGATATATGTTTCAATTACATTACTTCCAATCAATATGGAGTTGTTCACTTTTGTGCGAATTTAGGTTTCCTTTCTATTTTATAGATACGAAAACCCATTTGTGATTCAAGAATATTAATGGAAACTTGGTTTTTAATTTTGGGAACATGATGTATTCTTTAAATATCTATTTAAATGACAGTCATTAAGTTATAATCTATATATTATCTTTGACAACAATTTTATTATATCATTGTTTTGCATTACACCTAATAAATGTCATCGAGTAGTTTATTTTCCAAGCAATATGGTTTTTTTAATTTATTTATCGTTATTGTGCTCGAACAACTCCACAGATAATCTCATAGCACCCTTCAGTGAAAATAATTTAATACTTTTTGAATTTAGATTTTGGGAAATAATACTTTTTTGTAACGAATTTTTGTACTAAACGTCTGTCTATCCCGAAACCGAAGCGTCGCGCCTCTAAAATAAATGCTCCTATCTTCATAATTTAAGTAATATCGAAGAAACTACTAACCCACAACATTCAGTAAAGCGTCCCAGTCTTTTTAAATGTTTATTTTCATCAAATTGAGATCTTGTTTAGACTTGCTAGCGACGGCCCGCGCCGACTTGTCCGTCCGGGGCCGTCGCGAGGAACGAGTCTTAGTTTGTGAGGTAGGCTTAGTCATGATCTAATGATAGCGCCTTGTTAGAAAATACCGATTAATAAAATGAGATCTTTCATTACATTTAAAAATAATAATAATAAAGACGATAAAACTAGAATTACATACATTATACAACAAATTATTAACTTTTTTTTTATAACACCCTCCGCCGTCGATGTTCGTACTCTAAATGGTCTGATATTCATAATCGTATGTATCATGTTATACGATACAGAAGCATGTAACGTCACCAAGATACAATCAAACCATAAAATCAAGCCGCTCATATAAAAACTTAATTACTGGATGGGCTTATACAGCAGTGTTGTGAACAGTGGTGCTTTGTGAAATGGATTTAAAATTATTCTATTAAAACATTGTTAAGACATTACCATCTGTAAGTTGGATTGAGTTCTAATTGTCCATATTATGCAAACTATAAAATAATAGATTGTTAAAACGTTAACATTTACTTAATATATAAAAATCAATTTGATAATGATATGGCATTGCTCTTGTCTGTCAATATATTAGCGATATATGTATATTAATCACAGACTCTACTTTTTTTTATATAAGATTTAATTTATCTGCGTATTAACTTCCATGTTTACAATAACTATACATTTCTTACCAATAACGCTCTTAATATTCTAACACATATATTTTTGATCAAGCAATACATCATATCTACTCTGACCAATAACTACAAAATATCACAGTCGGTGTGTTTATTATGTATACATCATTTCATAGAAAAGTTATGTGTATCACACATGGACGAAGCCGACGAGCACGGTGTCCGAACACCATGAACGTCGGACATATTTCTTTATATATATTATTATAAAGTTTATATGATCGAATTATTTGTCAGAACTTTTTTTTATTGTATAGAAGCAATAATTCGGCGCCGAAATCTTACTACGGGAGAGGAAGGTTCAAAATTAAATCTATATTTAAATTTCGATTTGCTCGCGGGTACGAAATAACGATAATGATCGTGGATATGTGTGCAGTCACAACCATTGAAATGAACTAAATTAGCTAGACTGCGTTAAGGTTACACGGTTAGAACTAGGATCAGTCGGTAAAAGTTGACTAAAACATTGTACCTTCCATTTGTGTATGCACTGCCGCGACGACAGATTTGGAATCTCATAAATTATCACAATATCTAACCTACATTAAGATCTTGGAAACGTATCCTTTGTGCCCGGAATAGTTTACGTTTATGACAATCAAATGCACGGTACATCATCAAATTAAAATGTTACTTTCATTTGGTTTTACCAGTTTCTATCCGAACATATATTTTAACTTTGGTTGTAAATAACATTGTTTAAGACGCTACTGTTAGAAACTGGCTATTTATAATCAAAATACTCTTAAATTTAGGTATCTTGTAGCAAAACTATTAGCACCTATTGAGCATAATCGAGAGCTTTCAGAAAGGAAGAGTAATGTGTTGCGTTTAACTATGTAAGCAGTAACTGGCAATAAACTATGATCCCTTTTATAATATGTCTACTTTACATATTCTTAATTAAAGTATAATACAATAGCTATCTGAAAAAATATGGCTTTAGGTTTACATTGAGTAATTTGTCAGTTACATAAAATTTAGTGTAAAATAATTTTAAAACACATTACGTTAAACATAGTGTATGTTCGTTTGACCTAACAAATAAGATATTTACAACATTGTACACAAACGCGTATAGAAGCACCCGATAGAAAAAAGCACCTAGTTTCCGAATAGAATATAAGCGTACGATTGCTGATCGCTAAGGAAACATTACATGACGGTTCGTAACAATACATGACAATTAACATGACTTAACTCACTGGGGCGATCAATATAACTATTCCTCGTGTCACCACAACATTAAATGTTCCTTTAACCAGAGTTCAGACTTTCGAGTCTCAAGTTCTGTTCCAATGAATCAGTTTATTGTGTAAGAACAACAATGGCGTGCTAGATTTCACTTTGTTTAGTCAGCTAGCGTTTTTTGAGAGGCGGTCCGTCGTCCACGTCGGACGCCGACCAGCGTCGTTTGCTGGCGTCCTCCTTCACGCTGAGGTTCTCAGGGTGTGTTTGAGGCGGCGCTGGACCGTGGCTGATCGCTGGCGAGGTATGCTTACGAGCGACCAGAGTCACACACAGATCGCCAACTTGCAATCTATGAACCTGCAAGCCATACCGCGCCAGTGTGCGCTCCGGTTTACAAGAGGCCCAGCCTTGACCGTACACGAAGAACGGGTGTTCTACCGTCGATTCTAGCTCCACCTAGGCACAAAAATACAAATGAACGGTCAATATCATGTTGACAGTATGACATTCTGTTTGCGATAAACGAATACAGAGATAAACATGGTATCTATGTTTTGATGAATTATCTTACATGATAAAGCAAATTACGGCTTTTATCTATGATAAATTTAAGTTTATTAACACTGATAAAAATAAGGAAATGTGGTTAGGCTAAGCAATATCTAACGGGAGCAACGAACCTGGGAACGATTTCTGTCATATGAGAGGGTTAGCGCGAGGCGATCCCCGCGTTCGTCCAAACGAAGTAATGTACATTGTGTGAGTGTTAGTTCTCCACTACGTTCTGCACTCATCATGAAGTCTTCTGTACGCATCTCCTCCACCTTCCGTAGAGATCCGTCTTCTAAACGTATCAACGCTCCTTTACAGAAGTAAGGCGTTGGAACACCCCTTTCAGGTGAGGTTGGGGGCTCCTGGAAATTTCAACATAAACAATACAGTATTTTTATTAGGTTACATCATTCTAAATTTAATATATTTACTACAATGATGTCATGGAGTTCGTGACAGATAATATTCATTATTATTCGAATCGATTACACTCGTTGTAAGCAGTATCACGATAGTATAATGCAGTGTTGTTTGAAATAGCTAATTATATAAAAAATATTGACCTCTCTAGGCAGCGGTTGCGGCGCCGGTGCGGATACTGGCGGTGAGTGTGGTAAATGTGGTGCCGGCGCTGGTGGTACGAAGCCCGATGTGGGTCTCGGCCGTAGAGGGTAGGTCGGCGGCCTTGTTCTGGCGCCGTACGAGATGTAAGGGTAGGGGGTAGGGTGTGGCAGGTAGGGGTAGGACGCGGGGCTGGGGGCGAACGGCCCGGGGGCTGGTGGCGCGGGCATGGGGTCCCGCCGGCGTGGTGGGTACCGCGGGTAAGGGCGCGGCGGAGGGGCGATGAACTCCGGCGTCATGCTGGGCGGCGGGTACAGCTGGCTGAGCTGCAGCTGGACCAGCGCCTCGCCGGGGAGACTCGCCGAGATCATTGGACGAGCTGGAAAAAACAAGCATAGAATCTTTAGTGATTTTGGTACAGTGAAAGAATCATCAATTCGAAGGTAAAACAAGCATACTATGTTTAGTCGTTTCGTATGACGAAAGTTTCATAATTTTAAATGTAATTATGATCAACTGGGGAAATTCATATTATAATACTATTTTTAGTATGTATGCATTATATAGATTTTATTTTATATTTCCTTCCTAATAACACATTAACCTATGACTCTAAAAATATAGCACGTAGATAATGTTAACGACTTTAATAAAATTATTCGTCTCAATTGAAAAAAAATATGCCCATTACTATAACTTCCAAGATCCTCTCAAACCGCGTGGTGAAGAGATAAGAATGTGGAACAAACGGCGTCAACATTATAAATAGCTTTTATTTGTCACATAAAATAACTTAACAATGAAATATAGGTTACGTAATATAAATAAAACATTTTAAATCTTTTACACAGAACAAAATCTATAATTACAAAGGTAATATATTATTTTTTATATACAAGCTTTTATACGGCCATCGTTAATATCTCAGAGAGAGGGGAGAATAAAAGTTGTTAAGAGATTGTCAGCATTCCTCGAAGTCCGCCTGAAGCGATAATTTGAAGAACAAAGAAAGAACGCACCTGCGCAAACAATGTTGATGCTACGTAGGGACATATTACTACTGACATACTTAATACACCAGAATTATACATAATTAGATGAACTGATGCAAACTTTCATTATTTGTATGCTTCATTGTAGATGTTTTCGTAGTCAAGGAGACGAAATCTAGATTGCTTTATAAGTTTTAAATAATTCGGAAACTTAACTTGTATGAATCAATTTGCATTCGAGCGAAAGAAGCAATGAAAAGTGTGTTATACACAAACAGTTGTAGCTCCTACAAATTGGCTTTCTAGTTTGCGCAAACAGCGTTATCAACCTTGACAGTGACGAAAATTCTATTAATTCACAGATTTTTTTACTTTAAAATGGATATTTAGGAAATAATCGTTGATAACAATAGCCGGCAATCTCGAAGTGGGGCATGTCCAATCTTATCAATCACTACTCGGAGTGTCGATGTGAGTCGTGACAAATTCATATTTTTATTTCGAACATTGAATTCACAATTACTTGCTTTTGATGAAACTAATTCAATTACAATTTGTTACGCAACGTCTAAATGCTAAAATAAAATTATATTACTCTGGTTCTCAATGTACAAGTTATACAGAACATAGATCATTTTATTTAATACATAAAATGTTCCTTGGCCTAAAAATCATTATGAAACTTATTTGGGACAAATAAAATAAGTTCTAAATTAATTTTATTAGGTCAGATAACCTAAAACGGTATTCTAAATTGACGATGAAGTTTCATATATTTTTATACGATGCAAAATAGTTTTAACTGAGAACGAGAAAATGTCTACATCTTTCCTGGCTAACTGAGTCACCATTTCGTGACTAACTCGTTAAAAATTCAAGCCAATTAGCCAATTCCAACCACACATAGCCTCCGCTATTTCTGTCATTTCACAGGGGTTTTAAATTGTGCTATTGATCGATGAACTGCATATATATGGCAACACTGAAAAGCTTGTCTAATAAGACCATTAAAAAGAAACCTGTTGTAATTTTTTTATTGGCCTTCAATATGTTAAATCGTAAAATATAACCTCTGAATTCTAATTTATATGTATTTAATCATTATTTCTGCTACAACTTGTCTTATTTGAACGTTCCACGCGGCGCCTGTTTTTTTAATTATGAAATATCATTAATGTAGAGTTTCCTGTAACATCTGGATACTTCGAGTTGATTTAAATTAAATCCAAATCCGTCGAGCCTAATCTGTGTATAGCCGGTCAGAGATAAATGTTGTAAATTACCGTTTTTTATAAGTGCCACGTGTAATGTGCAGTGAATAAACTAGTTTTGACGTTACGTCAGAAAAACTTCAATGTCATTGACATAACCTATGCGATATTAATAATAAATTCCTTCATTATAATTAGTATTATATATAAAGGATAGTCTTTACATGATATACATATCTCTATGTAAACATTTATTTTTGATAATACCTATTTAATCTAACATCCATTTGCCAGTTGGTGTGAGCGTAGGCGCAAGGTCGTCGGTTCGCCGGCCGCTTGAAAAAACTAGCGATGAATGACAATATACATATATAAATTACACGTGGCGTATAGTTGCGTGATTATAGAAAGACATTTTTCCCATTATACAAAAAAATATTCGCAATTAAGGTTGCTCTGTTGCTATAAAAAGTTGATTTTCATTGCGATACACTACACGTGTTATTATTTACATGTTTCGTTCGAGTCTATTATTTTTATTATTCCACATATCTCGAGCTTTCATTAACAGGTTTATGCTGTTCGAGTTTAATTACTGCATTTTTTATTTTATTACAAAAAAGTTATACCATTAACACAAACATTACTTTAGTTCAAACACATTAAATAATCTATCATTTTATAATATCGTACTCAGTATCGCCGGGCCCAGTCAATCGCGGATAGTACTGGTAAATAATAACAGTGTGAAGCGTTCGATAGCGCACGCGTAACCCACTTCCGTCGTCCGTGACCTTGCGGCCGCCATTCAAGTCTTACACCCCCACCCTCACCCACACCCTGGGGGGTGACACCCTCGCCCGGGTTGTAACATACTTTGAGCGTTAGTTTTGCGAACTGGTACAAACAGGGCTGTCTGGCACCGAAAATAGATTAAATTCAATGTTTTTATTTTCTTCATTACATTATCAACTAAAATGTTTAATGTTAAATGTTTATTTAAATTTGGTAATGCACGTTTAAAATAAAATAAAAAAATATAACCTTCCGTTTGAAATGAAAGTTTTGATTAATTTCAAGTGAAACCTGGCACGTCATAGAACGAACTTTAGAAAGCCGTTTGAACCTAACATTGTTTGCCAAAAATATCTGACGGATCGATGTTAAAGGTGTTAAAAATAATGCAACTCTGCGGCACGTTACCAGTTAATAATAATTCGGCTCTAGTTGTTATTTTGTAATGAAAAACGGAAACAGAAAAGCAGCGGCCATTATACCGTCGAGCAATAAACATGCCATCAACTCAGAGCTTTTAAACTCCTACAATATCAATAAAAGGGTTATTTTTAACTTTTAGAGACAGTTTCTGTTACAATTTTACTACTTCCAAACGGTCTGAATACACCTGGGATATAAAAACTGTATAATATTTTTCAGCTAAAATGGGATAGTTAAATTTAATTATAAATACACAAAGTAATTGATACGTGTTGCTTCAAACAAAAGGTTTAATAAACATAAAGCAGGTCATATATATTATCATATTGGCAAGAGTCGCAGACAGGCAACACAAATAGTAAATTATATTTATTTTGAACGTACTTATTTGTCAGTTATGCTGTGATACCAGCACCTGTCACAAGCAGCTGTCAAAATAACTTGTCACGGACCTACGCTCTCACACGTACCTACAATGCAAGTGTAGTATAACAAGTGTCACTTAATATCTATTCCGATATAATTTTTATTTATATTTTCGTCTTCATTAGTGATAAACAGTTTCCTAGAACGCTATAATAGCTTTATTATGACGTGGAGCGCGGCTAATTGAACTGGTACACTGTGGATGTGTGAGTTGCCTTAAAATGACGACAATGCACTAACACATTTAAATATTATATTGGTGTGTGTGAAGCGTCCTATTAAATAGAATGTAGTGTAATCTATTTCTGTACACATAATTTAAATAATGAATAGTTTTGTTAAGTATCTATGTTTTAGGTAGAATGTACATTTGTATAGAAGTATAAGGTTAGCTCCGTTTGCCAGTCTGAATGAACAGTGATCGAGTCACGCGACGCCAATTACGTAAACCCCAGTTGCCAACGTACCACGACTTACTCGTTTGCAGCAAAAAACACGCCTCGCGTCTTAATTGTATTGCAATAATGTAAATTATATTTGATTATTCAAAATAAAGTTGTCATATCGAAAATTTTAGTATAATTAATCGGTAATTATGAACTTTGAATAAATGCTCTTGACGACTATAGATTATGCAGCGTTATTACGTTTTGGCTTAACGTCAGCGTTTTTGTGTCTTGGATATTATTTTTAAGGTTTGTTAGTAATAGAAGTCGAGGCAAACAAGCCGCCTACTTTCGAAATACGACATCCGTTGAGCGCAGCACTGACAAACGTTTATTAGGTATTTACGCTCACTATTATGCACGTCGCCCACGCATCTTGCGTGCTGTGTGAACTGATAGGCGCCATCAGAGACGAGAAAATGTTTAAGATGAACAATCTAACTATACTAATGGACGTGAATTCTCATTGTATGAAACTAACATCTTGGACACACCGAAAACTGTGCTTAGGAATATGTGTGGCAATTATTACGCTCGTTTGAAAAATATATACTTTGTTGGACGACTGAAAGAATCGAATTGCTACATTAACATTAATTAGGCAGTTCAATGACCTACAGCTATTAGCTAATTACGTTTTAAACCTAGTTTAACGAAATACTAGATTTCTAGCTGTTAGTGCAGTTTTATTATGTATTTTAAATGATAGCTATATGGCATAAGTTTGTGTAGGTTGAGATAGTAACAATCGTATTATATACCTTAAGAAAATTTATATAGTAGATATATATAATGTTATTTCATTACATTCTTCTTCTATATTTATAAAGATAAGTGCAAACGAGTCTGTGATGTCCTCGGTCACTTTTATCATAAAGACACAACAACATGCCAGATATATGTACATAAATACTTCGATATGTTTATATAAACACTGAAATATTACATAACGTCACAACAGTTGGTTGAGGAATAGTTAAAGCTCTATTTGCTATAAAACATACAATTATAACAACACTTCACTATAAAACAGTTCCGAGTGACTCAACAGACATCGGAATCGTAAGTGATATATAAC